GTGAACGGTGTATTTAACTGTCAAGGGAAGAATGCAGTGAACGGCGCTAAAAAAAATCTGTTGAGCGAAGCAAATCCACAACTCAGTGAACGATGCTTCCGGAAAACAAAGAGGAAGAACGCCTGAAAATGAACTCCCGGCGGGTGGGGGGTGGAGGAGGAGGAAGAAACCTGGTATAATCCTGGACATATTCGAGTCAGTAAAACTCCCGGGGCAGCGTTCAACTTTTACATGGCATCGAACGCTAGCCAATTTGTAGGTAAGTTTTCTCCCGACTCCTGACTCGAAACCAACCACCGCTGAAAATGTCCACCAACACACAGGGGAAACTTTGTCGTGCCCTCGTATATACCAACCTCGTGTGGGGAGAGAGAGAGAGAGAGAGAGAGAGAGAGAGAGAGAGAGAGAGACTAATATACTTCCATATGCTAAAGGTCAAAATTAAAAAAAAAAAGTAATACAAAATAATGTGATCACAATCTGGCCCCCAATTTAAACTGGATCACACCCGAGTCTCTTTTTGCAATGGTAAATGTCAGGTGGGAGGTAGCGGGAAGAGAGCGGCGAGTGTGTTGTAAATATCTAATAACTTAACTGAATATCATAGAAAAACAATCTCGGTGTAGTTTGTACTATATATTGAGAGAAGTAACGGTATGAAGTGTGTAATTGGAAATGGTAATGAAATGGTGATGACTTTTCTATATCTGTCTGTCTGTCTGTCTGTCTGTCTGTCTGTCTGTCTGTCTGTCTGTCTGTCTGTCTGTCTGGTCTAATGAATCCGTGTGTGTATTTTATTCATGTTTTTATTGTTTTTGTGTATTTACTTTTTTTCTGTATGTGTGTCTGTGTTATTCTTCACCTTAAGAACCATTAGTAACTTATTAATTTTAAGTTCCCAAGGCTTAGATAAAATAGATTTTAAGTTTTACTGAATGAAAAAACCAAAACAAAAAACAAACACCAATTCTTCAATCCTCACCACATGTGCATAAAATATATATCGCGACCTAAACACAAAACTCCACGAGCGAGAGAAAAAATAACAAAACATATAACAGTGTGGGGATAAACCGAGATGAAAACAGTTTTAAAAGGTCAACATTTTACTAGTGTTATTGTTGCTACTTTCAATAAACCGAACAAAAACTTTACCATTTTTTTTTTAAAGTTTACGATTAAATATAAATAAACTACAAAAAAAAAAATGTATTCATGGATCTGTGACTAAACTAAACTAAACCCCCCCCACCCCCCACCCCCAGTCCATACTCAACAACCTGGTATATATATTTATTTACTGAATGAAAACAACAGATTAAAAATAATTCCTTCACCAACTAAACACAATGTTAATTTACCTGCAGGGAGTCAAATAATATACCTGAGGAAAATAAGAATCTCGGACGTCTTTCCATGACGACAAACTTCCCTATAACCGTGCAACTTACAGCGTCCTACGTCACTATGGCAACACTAGCGGCGTGTGGGGGAGGGGGGTGGGTGGATTAACAGAGACGGTGGGTGGATTAAGAGAGACGGTGGGTGGATTAAGAGAGATGGTGGGTGGATTAACAGAGACGGTGGGTGGATTAACAAAGACGGTGGGTGGATTAACAAAGACAGTGGGTGGATTAACAAAGACGGTGGGTGGATTAACAAAGACAGTGGGTGGATTAACAAAGACGGTGGGTAAATTAACAGACACATTGGGTGGATTAAGAGATGGTGGGTGGATTAACAGAGACGGTGGGTGGATTAAGAAGATGGTGGGTGGATTAAGAGAGACGGTGGGTGGATTAAGAGAGATGGTGGGTGGATTAAACAGAGACGGTGGGTGGATTAAGAGAGATGGTGGGTGGATTAACAGAGACGGTGGGTAGATTAACAGAGACGGTGGGTGGATTAACAAAGACAGTGGGTGGATTAACAGAGACGGTGGGTGGATTAACAGAGACGGTAGGTGGATTAACAGAGACGGTGGGTGGATTAGCAGGGCAGTGGGTGGATTAACAAAGACAGTGGGTGGATTAACAAAGACGGTGGGTAAATTAACAGACACATTGGGTGGATTAACACACATTGACCCAATTAACAAAGACACTTCAGTTAATTACACAGCAACAGTAAAATAAACTCACTCGTAACACAACCATTATTAACAAGAGATCAATAACACATAACACTAACGCAGGAAGAACACCCCTGCCCCCTCCTGACGAAGAAGAGGCTGTCTACAGGAGGCTTTTATTACAGCGTCACTAATAAAAAATACATAAAAAAAAATAAAAAATAAAAAATAAATAAATAAAAAAAGTTAGCAATATGGATGTAACAATTTGAGGGAATTTACCCCCAAAAGGTGCTCAAGATGACTGCCTAATTACCCCTGTCTCTTGCACACTCTTCCCTGACCCTAAGATTTAAGGGAAGGTATTTTTTTCATTAGGGAATATTTCTACTTAATGATGTACTTAATTTATCTTTGTCGTGGTTAATTACTTATATAAATGTTCTTAGTTAACTGATATAAATGTTCTTGTGTTAATTACTTCATATAAATGTTCTTATGGGAGTTAATTACTTGTTTAATCTATTTAATTTAACTTGACATCAACACGACACAAATGTTCTTAAACAACTCATTTCATTATCTATTATAAACCAAGAAGTCGTGAGTTACATAAACTTCTTTCAGTAGAACTAACTACATATTTTAGTCAACATGAAGCAAAAGAAAATATTTACAGTATAATGGTAAGCCACACCCAGATGACTTTGACCTGCCATAATGACCTTGACTTGCTTATATGACCTTGATCTACCCCAATGACCTTGACCTATCCTAATGACCTTGACCTTCCCTAATTACCTTGACCGTCCCTGCACTAATTGAATCACCGTAATGACCTTGAACTATTTTAATGACCTTGACCTATCCTAATGATCTTGACCTACCCCGAATGACCTCGACCTGCCCTAACTGACCTATCCTAATGACCTTGACCTGCTTTAATGACCTAGACCTATCAATGATCTTGACCTACCTCTAATGACCTTGACCTTTCAAATAGTGACCCAACCAGGCTGAAGTCAGTGATCCTCCCTGGAGCGGCGACCATAGCGGGGAAAAGTGAACGAAATAATGATAGGTGACTCCCTAGAGTTTTGGGTGTGTGTGTGTGTGTGTGTGTGTGTGTGTGTGTAAAAATAATAATAATAATAATAATTAACGGTTGATTGAAAGAGCATGGCAGCCAGAAGACTGAAAATATACAGTTACATTATTAGGGAATGGGTTTCCTGACTGATAAATAATATACAAGTAACATATGTGGTACAAATATGATATACTGTATAATAACAAGGTGGGGGAAAGTCATACTACAGGGCATTTCAATATAGCGACATTGAAGCCTTGAGCTATAATTGAGTATTTTAATGAACTGTTTTATGAAGATTATTCAGAATTCATGATGTGTGTGTAAACGTGTGAGGTAATGCATGACTTGTGTACTATTGTTTAATACTCTGTTATTTATCAAGACTTAATTCAGTATATTGTAGACTTGAGTCGTAAGTATGTATTTACAGAGAACAAGTGAATGTTTTACTTTAGCGTGACTGTTCATTTAAGAAGTACTGTAATACCTATTAATGTGTAAGCTCTTGTCGAGTCATTTAATTTGTAAGGGGTAATCATCAACAAGTCTTTCTTTATTTTCTCCAGCTGTCAGAAAAGTGATGACTTGACTGCACAGATCTGTGAGTATCATTCAGTATTTTCAGTTCTCAGGAGCAAATATATTTATGTGCGAGAATTATTATGCAAAATTACTCGGCACCTGCCAGTGCTTCCTTGTGTAATATCATGATTGAAGTATATTTACAGTAAATAATAACTTGTATTGACTTGTTTACCATTGGAAACAATATATTAAGATGCCAAATCTTCAGCGATCACTATTATCTATGTATTATTGTGTTGTGTTGTAAGAGGATATAGCGTAGTAAAGGCCGCTTCGACTGTGCTACAATTAACAGCACACTATCCCATCACTGTTGCAAGGAAACTAACTTACCTTCTGAAATAAACAGATCCAAACATCAACATCAAGAGAGTAGGATAAATAACTTTCATTATTACTTTTCAAACCGATATATATATACCCACCCACCAAACATATAATTTTTATTGTTAACTTTTCAATAACTGGACAATATTGGTCCCAGGATTATAAAGGTCTCTTCAGCTGAATGAATTTCAATCAATGATCAGAACAGCTGATGAACGAGTCAAACATTAACACAGAAAAATGTAAAAAAAGTTATTAGCCAAAACTCGTGTACTGTATGTGTGTTGCCTCGACAAAATATATTCATCTGGTCTGCCGTGTTATTCCCGTTTTGTAATATTATACGGTATATATGTGTAGTAAAATAATATCGTATGAGTATACCTAAAGTATTATTTTGACGGGTTATATCTTGGTGCAGCGTAAAATGAACCTGACTTGTGTTTGTATACCTCATGTGCCACCCACCCACTCCCCCTCCCCCACCCAATCCCCTTCCACCTCACAAGATATTCCTTCCCCCACCGACCCTCTTCTCTCCCCTCCTACAAGATGCCAAACCCTCAAAACCAAGGAGAAAATATATACATAAAATACAACTTAATTAAGAAGCTTTAAATTTTAATCAGGTCATCTGAAACAATTTATAACGAGACACCCACCCCCCCAAAAGAAAAAAATTCACCCGGCAGTGTTTGGTTAATCCTGGTGACAAACTTACGGACTAACACACATACAAGTTTGAAGAGAAATGAAATGAAAATCGAATTAAAAAAATATTCGATTTTGCCAAAACTAAAAACAATACAAAAATATAATAAAATTGTTCGTACCTTTGTTTATCTTCTATAAAAACTAGTAGGAAATAAAACTAGGAGACGAAGACAACTAGCGTGACTAAAACTAAGACATCAATCAGTAGCGTTAGTGACGGAGAACGAGACCTAAGTAAACTTGGCCGCCGTAGACGTAAGCGGGCCGTGGACGTAAGCGGGCCGTAGACGAAAGTGGGCCGTGGACGTAAGCGGGCCGTGGACATAAGCTGGCCGTAGACGTAAGCGGGCCGTGGACGTAAGCGGGCCGTGGACGTAAGCGGGCCGTGGACGTAAGTGGGCCGTAGGCGTAAGTGGGCCGTGGACGTAAGCGGGCCCGTGGACGTAAGCGGGCTGTAGAGACGTAAGCGGGCCGTGGACGTAAGCGGGCCGTAGACGAAAGTGGGCCGTGGACGTAAGCGGGCCGTGGACATAAGCTGGCCGTAGACGTAAGCGGGCCGTGGACGTAAGCGGGCCGTGGACGTAAGCGGGCCGTGGACGTAAGTGGGCCGTGGACATAAGCTGGCCGTGGGCGAGAGAGGATTTTCAACATCAATTAGATCAGTCAGGAAAGACACATCAGATAAGAAACAAGACAAACTGAGCTTAACTATCACATTAATCCGGTTTACTGAGAGTTCTTAATCACAACAACTAACCCTCAGTCATATATCTATGGGACACTTTCCAGTTTTCAATCTTAATCTAACGAAAAAAAAAAAATCAACGCGTAGGAATAAAACTCAAGTGGTAGAATTATCAGTCATTTCCAACATTCTACCCGACTAGAGGCAAGAATCCTAAGATAAAAACAAAACAAGAGAGTCTGAAACAAAAAGATAGAAGAAAAACAAAACAAAAGCCCGAAACACAAAAAAATAGAAAACAAAACAAAAATATTAATTGTAAAATATATCAAAACAGTATGAAATCGTGACACCTATTCCAGCGTGTTTGATGTAAATTTTGATAGAGCTAAGTGCAAATTCGGCAAGTGTAAATTTCAAACGTACATATGGCAGGCGTAAATTTGATAGGTTTAAATATGACAGGAGTAAGTTTGACAGGGGTAAATTTGACTAGCGTAAATTTGACAGGCTTTAATTTGACAGGCATAAGATTGACACGGGTAAATTTGACGGGCTAAAATATGAAAGGAGTAAGCTTGACAGGCGTAAATTTAATAATCATAAATCTGACAAGGACAAAGCTGACAAACATTAAAAACTGACAAGCATTAATTCTGAAAGGCGTCCACGAGAAGAAAAAAAAATAACACGAGCTACAAATTGATGAAAAATAAAGCCGAGACAAAAATAAAATCCCCGAGGAAAAAAAAAAGAAAGACCAAGACAGAAATAAAATCCCGACTAAAATAACACATTAAATTTAGCCATCGTTTGAGGCGAGGCTGTGAGAAAATACCAAATGTGTGAAAGGCTTTAAAAAATAAAAGAAAAAATAGAGATAGTTTTAAGGAATATACAGGATAACGAGCTAAAAACGGGAGGGGCAAAAATAAACTAACTTAGACGGGGAAAAAATGAACTACAGCTGAAGTAAGAGGGGTGGGTGTGGACGACAGCTGCACCGTGATGTGTGAGAGTGGACGACAGCTGCACCGTGATGAATGAGGGTAGATGACAGCTTCACCATTATGAGTGACCATGGACAACAACTGTACAACCGCTGCGGAAGAACAACTGGGTGGGACAACTGTACCACCACAGAAGAGCAACAGCTGGATAAAAAGACCATCTACTCAAACAGCTGGACCGACACGACCCTACACTGACAGCTGAACCGACACTACCCTACACTGACAGCTGAACCGACACTACCCTACACTGACAGCTGAACCGACACGACCCTACACTGACAGCTGCACGACCACTACAGATGCCGACCTTCAGCACCAGCAGGGAACCAACAGCACAATAACACACTACAACTAACGTAAGAGAGAGACCACCAGTCAACACTCTATTAGAACTTAGGGTCACCTGCCCATGAAGACTGTAACATTATGAAACACCAAGATACATTTTTGTAATTGTTTCATTTCGTTTTCTCACATCTGTGTTGTTTATATATTCAGTGACCAATCTATATGCACGATGAGCTGCTTCCTCCTCTCTCTCTCTCTCTCTCTCTCTCTCTCTCTCTCTCTCTCTCTCTCTCTCTCCGTTAAGTACTTTTCCCCTTTCACCATTTTAGTATGTGTGTGTGTGTGTGTGTGTGTGTGTGTGTGTGTGTGTGTGTGTGTGTGTGTGTGTGTGTGTGTGTGTGTGTGTGATGCTAAATAAAGATAATCACCAACAAAGCCTAAAAAACAAAATTGATTTTTTTTGGCCGAATAGGGATAACTGATCTATATTGCTATAACTTAATGATCTATATTGCTATAACTTAATGTTAATTAATTCGTAACGTAGAGAGAGGAGAGAGAGAGAGAGTCACCGAGATCATTTTCCATCTATTCCACCACTTTGACCCTCTTTCTCCTTCCTTCCTCTCCTCTCCTTCCTTCCTTCCTTCCTGTCCCTCTTCTATCCCCTTCCTCTCCCCCCTCCCTGCCCTTCTCCCCTCCTTTCTCCCTCTTCCTCCCTTCCTCCCTCTCTCCTTCCCTCTTCATTATTAACTGCTGCATAAAACTAACCTTCCTCCTCCTCCCTCCTCCTCCCTCCTCCCTCCTCCTTACCTAAAAAAAAGTAACCAGCTTCCAAAATATACACAACTTTGGGTGAAAATATTGAGTTTGAGGCGGTGTAAAATATAGCGTGAGGCCGGAGGGAGGTCAGAGGGAGGGGAGGGAGGTCAGGGGAGGAGGAGATCAGGGGAGAAGAGAGGTCAGGGGAGGAGGAGGTAGGGGAGATTGGCCGGTGGAGGGAGGTTGGTGGGCGGAGGGAAATTGGTGGTTGGAGGGAGGTCGGGAGAAGGGAGGTCACGGGGTGGAGGGAGGTCACGGGGTGGAGGAGGTCAGGAGAGGTCAGAGGGAGGTTGGTGGGTGGAAAGAAGAGATCGGGGAAGGGGGGGGCGTTCGAGCAGGTGGGTTACTGAACACCGAGGAAGGCGACTCGGTACACCTGACCCCACCCCTCATAAAACTTTTAACCGCATTATGTTGATGACTTAAGACCCGCCACAACCACGACCACTATCACCTGCTTGTTGTTGTTGGTGGTGGTTGTGGTTAGTTACTGGTAATGCTATGTTGTTATTATTATTTGAGAGTTTTAAAGGTGTTGAACTTAACTAAAATTAATTCAATTTTATATATTTTTACTTAGAGAGAGAGAGAGAGAGAGAGAGAGAGAGAGAGAGAGAGAGAGAGAGAGAGAGGAGGGGAGGGTTCAGAGGGCGAGTATTTTAAACATCCGGCCCATGCCCTCAGGAAGACTGGGGAAGTGGAAGCAGTTTTAGAAAATGGTGCAAGGAGACTCGTGCAGGTAACACACACACACACACACACACACACACACACACACACACACACACACACACACACACACAAAACTGTGGAGAACAAACTAAAACTCAGCGTGTCCTTAACCACGTCTTCACATTATCAAGGTCTCCAACCATCGAGGAGAACAAATTAACACTTTGATTGCCTCTCTGAGCGTGTCTCCCCAATAGCCCCCCTCGTTACTGTACTGTCTCTCTGAACTGCACCCTGAGGCTCGTCTCTGAGGAGCTCCTTACCACCTATTATCTCACACCGCCTCCCTGACGACGACGGACTGGCTATCTGCCAGCTCCCTCCCCCATCTAGTGTTCTCCTGTCACCCCCTCTCATGTGCTCCTGTCTGCCCTCACGTGCCCTCTGGAAGCCTCACCACCCCCTCTCACGTGCCCCTGAAACCACCCCCCCCCAACATGAACTACGTCGTTTAACGTTTTATTCTCTACCACAATTAGAAATAGGAAACCGTTGCCATAGTTACCGTAGAACATCCATGTAGTTTTAGCTTTAGTGTTGGTCGCCGTGTGTGTGCCTCAGCTTAAGTGAGCCATTTAGATGCTTACCAACCGAGTATGGGGAGAGGGATATGGGGGTATGGGGGTATGGGGAGGTATGGGGGTATGGGGTTATGGGGCCCGTATTATCATTTCTGGGGTTTAACGGAACCGGACACGGATCCTATCCAAACTGATCTACACCTATCAACATAAGTATATCCTTATCCTAACCTAACCTAACCTAACCTAACCTAACCTAACCTAACCTAACCTAACTTAACCTAACCTATCTTATGATAAACCCAGCCTAACTTAGCCCAACCTCACTGAACTCAACCACACTTAACTTAAAATATCTTAAACCTAGCCTAACTTAACTCAGCCTAACTTAACCCAAGTCATCCCTATGTTAACATAACCCAACGCAAACTTAACCTGACCAATTCCTTCGCAGTTCTGGTGTCAAATTTTGGATCGGTCACACACTGTAAACGGGATCTCTTGAACGTTCACCTCTACAACAACTGTTAAAACGCAATCAACTAGTATATAATTATCCAACAAAATATATTCTGATAATTTAATAATTTTAAATAATTCTACAAATAACTCAATAATAACCTGCCAATAAATAACCAAAAATAAATCAAAACCAATAAAAAGAAAAAATATTAAAAAAAACCGTTGAAAAATTAACCGTCATAAAAACCGTTAATATATTTAAAAATTTGAATTAAAAACCAACATACATATAAAAGTTTGAACTGAAAACAACACAACATACATCAACACTTTACTAAAAACAGAATCACAACTTCCTGACACCATCCTTAACAAACAGCTTCCGTGTGAATGACTTTCTTTCACGTGATGTTTTTACCGACGAAAACAGACAAACAAAAATAATGGTGTGAGATAGTGGGATGAGGATTCTCTCTATCTCTTATAATAAATCTCTCTGAGCTAAAGATTCTCTCTATCTCTCGTAATGTAAATCTCGTCTCTGGGCTCGAGACTGACCTAACCTAACCTGACCTAAGCTAAGAATATTTGAGAAACTGGAGGGTGACGGGGAGATGGTGGAGGAGATGGTGGAGGAGATGGAGGTGGAGGTGGAGGAGATGGTGGAGGAGGAGGTGGATGAGGAAGGGTGGGGGGGGGGGAAGGGTGGAAGAGACGGAAGAAGAGGAGGAGGAGGAGGAGGAAATTGAAGAGGGAGATGGAAGAGGAAAATACCAGCATGGAGGAAAAGGATGAGAGAGCAAATACTATAGATACATGCTTATAAAAAATAAATAAACATAAATATATATACTTGTATAATCTCTTCTGACATACTATACATAAATACATAGATATACATATAGATAACACGAACACACTTGTATACACCCGAGACCGACACATCAAAGCTTGCTGACACAACACAGGTGAGAAACTCAATCGGGATTCTCAAAAAATAAAAAATAAAAATAAATCTTACATCAACTTTTCCTTCTCCTCCTCTGACTGAGATACGAGAAGTCAACAAGTAACAAGACTCCCTTACACACTACGACAAAAAATTAAGTTAAAAAAAAAGATGTTGTA